GAATAAGTCCTCCACTAATGCAGTGTTACTATGTCAAGGGCATGTTGCAGAACATATTCCCAATCAAACACCCATCTGGGCGGCCCCTTGGTTATCTTTTTGATTTCAAAATAGTTTGTTGTTTAGTCAGTATTATTTAGTTTACATCTCTGCTCCTCTCTGCTTTCTTACATTAAGCTCCTAGCATGAGAGCCTCTGCTATATGACTCCTTCCCACAATGCATGAGAAGCCAAGGGCCAAACTTCCTCCCCATTTTGATATTGTCCCATCTTCTCCACATGACATGGGGGAGAGCTGCCACCCATGTTACCCAGTGGTAACTTTAGTGCCTCCCACACTATCAGTGTGTTGTCATATTCTTGTTTAAATGGAAAATACTAATTACATGCACAATTCTAAACTATAACTTTGTTGCAGATCGGCTATTTAGGTGATATTTTTTTACCTAGTATCAAACATGTCTTACTCCTTAATGTTACTGATTTAAATTGAAATCCTGAGCATGCTCCCACAGGCAATGCATTTAATAACTTTAAAGTCATTTTAACAAATGGTGTTTGCCCATGCTTTGCAGTTATTTCTAATGAATGGTTCCTGCCTTGTCTTTGCTGTGCAGTTATGTTTTTCCTTTATTACACTTTATGTTAATACAGTGGGTAGAACATTTGAATTACAGTGTACCGCATTGTAGCTGAACGAGCTACCTTTTGTTTTCCTTCTTGGGAGAACATATTTTCTTGCATCCACATCCTACTTTTTCAATGGAAAAGTGACCCTTTGTGCTTGAAGAAAATTCTTATATATTTACTGCAATGGAAAAAATACATGAAAGCTTTACATTCTGTTTCCTTTACTTAGCACAAGTTAGGCTTAAGACTGGGGTATTTATATGACTGCATTCTCTTGCATGAACCTGTCCAGCAATTAAGATGGACCTCAAAGGCCTTCTTCCCTGTTGTCCCACCAACTTCAGTAAGATTCGTGGTGACCAGAGATTGGACCTTCTCAGTTGTATCACCCTGTTGATGGAGTCCTCTTCTCAGTGAGGCTCACCTGGTGCCATCTATTTTCTTTCGGCCTTGGGTAAAATTTCATTTCCCCGTGCTTTTCAATATTACCTCTTAGTGCTGTTTTTAAGCTTCTGATGGACTTTGGGTTATAGTGCTGCTTTTTTGTTGTGATTACTGTGAGATGCTTCTTCTCTTACCAGGAAGCTTGGGTTAGTGGAGGGACATGGGCAGGGACATTCCTGCCCAGCTTGTAGCCACATGTTCACCAACTAAGAAGAATCAGCCTCAAAGTTAGCTGGCAGTCCAGAGAGGGAGTTGAGGGGGCAAGAGAGAGCACAGGGTAGAAGAGGATACAAGTGAGTGCTTTGTGTAAAAAGAGTTTATTCAACAGGAAAAAGCTATAGCCAGTATTAATATACTTATCAATAGGGGTATACAACTAAGTAGATCAACTGTAGTTGTTTGAGATAGCCTTGTGCCAGTTTTAATTCTTAATGTTTTATTACAGAAGCAAGAGAAACTGAGCAAAAGATAAACCAATCAATGAACTAGGGACATTGAAGCATGAAGAGTTAATGAGTTTTCCAATTCTTTTGCAAAAAGCACTATGACCCTTTTTCCTCTGAGCAAAACTACCTGATTACCTAATGTGTAGTGTTTGCTCCCTGTGATTGATGTGTGTGTATAATTTATCCAGTCTCCTTAGATACAGATATCTAAAACACTTAAGTTTATTGCTACATGGGGTTTAGGAGGTAGAGAGAAGGGGGTACAGTGCTTGAATTATAGAGGTAAGGGAACCCTTAATGAAATCCATGACTCACTCTAGTGTTACCATGATCAGGCCCTTGCTTTAAAAGCCTTGGGAAAACAGGGACTCAGCTCTTCTGCCTGCTGAACCCACTAAGACACTCGAATTCAGGACACAAGGGAGAAGTGTGCTAAGAGGAAGGCACACTTGGCAAATTCACACCGTGATCAACTCCCGCCCGGAAACCAATGTCCCCACTGTGGAAGGATGTGTGGATCCAGAATTGGCCTCCACAGTCACTTACGGACTCATTGTTAAAACCGTGTTTATGGAATACAATCTTACTTGGCTACAAGTGATTGCCGAAGAAGAATCTGAACATCGGAATGATGGTTGTGTTTATTGAGCACACCTGATCCCCCCAAAGCCCACATGATGCCCTTATTCAGTCCATGTAAATCACAACTACTTGTGTCCTGAAAATGGTTGGAAGCAATGAGCTGGCAAAAACTTTTCCACATAGGAATTGTTTTTTCCCCCTTTCTTTCTGGGAAATGATATATGATGAGTTGAAAAAGGTATTTAAGTATACCTTCCCTAAGAAACCAGAGGCCTTCCTTTTGGGCATTGTTGGCCAGAGGGTGTTAAAGAAGGACCGAACATTCTTTATGTATGCAACAACAGCAGCAAGGATACTTATCGCCAAACATTGGAAAACCCAAGATTTGCCCACGCTGGAAGAATGGCAGACGCAACTGATAGACTATATGGAATTAGCAGAAATGACTGGCAGAATCCGAGACCTGGGAGAAGAAGTAGTGGAAGAGGATTGGAAGAAATTTAAGGACTATTTACAAAAACATTGTAAATTGTATGAGTGCTAAGAAGGATGCAAGATTGAAAACAACATGGCATCAGCAAGCTAGTTGAAAGGAACATGAGAATAGGTGAAATTTGAGAAAAAGACAAATTTTGGATTAATATTATGTCTAAATTAAGTATTTAAGCTCTTGATAAAAGTATTTAAAGTTAGAGACACGATACTGAAAAATTACAAAATAAGAATCGAAACAAGGTGATAAATTGCTGGTTAAAACTTTATAAATTAGGAACGCAGGAACGAGAGATGTGAGGAAGTCCAAAAAGTGAAGAAAATATGGTTATTAACTATTTGATTTTGTTGTGGTATGCTTTTTGTATTATGTGTTAATCTTTTCTTTTTTGTGTGTCTTTCTTTGTTTATTGTATTTTGGTGATGGTTTTATATGTGTTTGGTGATTATAATGTCTAAAATCTTTAATAAATATTTTATATTAAAAAAAAGGAATTGTTTTTTTTAATAAAAGCACCCCTTCATGTACTTCACATTTAGCACTGAATTGTGATGGTAATAAGGAATGCTTATGTGCAGATGTGTCCTACTTTTCACTCTTTGGGCTCTATTCACAGGTTTTTTTTAGCAAACTCACAATTATAACTGTCATTCATTTCCAGTTTCTTCATTCAGATATTGTATAAGAATGAAAAATAGCTTACCCACAATCTCCCCTCAGTCTATTCTCTCTCTCTCTCTCTCTCTCTCTCTCTCTCTCTCTCTCTCTCACACACACACACACACGGTTTTGATGACATCCTAATGCTCCCTGAAGTTGCAGAATAACATAACTGTGCAAGTTGTAGTTGGTAGGTGTGTTAGAACTGAACAGCCATTATCTTGATAACCATTCTGTGCATTGTAAGGCATGGCTCTAATGGGACTGTAATGCATTGGCCAGCAGGTTGGGGATTTAGTGCTTAAATGTCAGTGTTTCAAAGGATCCCTGTGTGGAACACAAACACATCTCCCTGCTCATCAAGGAGGGGGGAAACCCTTCTCACTGTGCCCTGCTAGCTTACTTTTGAACGCTCCCACACATAAATAATGTAACATCCCATCTGACAGTTATAACATTCCATCACAAAATGCACGTGGAATCAGAACATGGCTATTGACCCTCAGAAACAGAGGTGTCTCTGTTATTCTAAATATTCTGTGGTTCTTGGTTAGGTTAGCATTTGGTTTCTTCTTTCTCAGATCATGTTTCCATTTGGAAGGGACCCTGAGGATCATCTAATCCAACCCCCAGCAATGCAGGAATATGCAGCTGTTCCTTACGGGGATTGAACCTTTCACCTTGGTGTTATCAGCACCATGCTCTAACCAACCGAGCTATCCAGCTGATTTAGTTCTTGGCCAAAGCTGAGCACACTGAATGGATCCCAGTGCACCTTCCCTCCATGGTACCTGAAATTAAAGACATGGGAACCCTCTTCTATTTGGTTGCCATAGTAGCACAAAAACAAAAAACCAACCCACAGACATTCTACTCTTCTGCTCAACTACCATAAGCTACCATGTTTCTAGTTATAAGGTAGTATCCAGTTAACTTTTACTCAGAGTACACCCATTACAATTAATGGACCTAACCTTGTCACATTCATTAATTTCAGAGGATCCACTATGAGTGAAAGTTAGTTGAATAACACCCATAGTATTAATTATCCAGAAACTTTATTACTAAGTATTTATTTGTGTATCACTAAATTGCCAAAGTGCCTTCTAATTTGTAAGAATAAAACCAGCTGCAAAACACTAATAATTAAGCTACACAGTAAAACAATTCCATCAGTACATTAAAATAAACGTATGCAATTAGAATGTGTGATGAGGCCATTAAAATAGCAGAAAACGATTCAAACAGGTTTAGGTCAGGAGATTGGGGAAATGGTTGTCTAAGTAGGTATGTCTTCAAAAGTAATTAGACATTTCCTTACCTCATTTTTAAAAACTATTTGAAATTGTCTAGCTTTACAGAAAAAGTCTTGTGTTTTATTTCAAGATAAATGCTAAACTTTTTATTCATGTCTGGGGTGGGAGAAAACCTGTGGCCCTCCAGACTCTTCTCGGTCTCAGCCAGCATGATCGATGGTCAAGGAAGATGGGAACTGTGTTCCAGCAGCATTTGAAGGGTCACAGCTTCCCGATTCCTAACTTACATGATATCTGCTATGTGTGGCTGTGAATATTGTGCTTTAATTTCAAACTCTGCATTTGATCTTTGCAAGAGGTGCAGATGTTTCTGCTTATGTTGTTGCCTGTTGAATGCTCCTTGTTTCCTAAAGGGATGAACATAAAGAACACTTAAGAGTATCTCATTCTTACTTTGTCCTAATAGTTTGACACTTTGTCGTCTTTTAGGCTTCAAGTGGCAATTACTACTTCATTCCATACATTGTAACGCCATGTGCAGATTATTTTTGCTGTGAAAGTGATGCCCAGCGGAGAGCCTCTGAGTACATGCAGCCCAACTGGGACACCATCCTAGGGCCTCTGTGCGCTCCATTGATGGACAGGTTTATCAGCCTTCTCAAGGACATTCATGTCACATCATGGTAATTTTTACACACTTTCCTCTTTTAGCTATAATAGCTTCCAGGCTTGTTGGGTATAGTATATAAAGAGCAGCAAGTAGTTCTCTCAGTACCCTGGTGAATGGCTTGGTGGGTGGGTCATACTTATTGATACTTATTGATATAATGTAATTTAGTGTAAAAGGAGTTTTTGTTTTTGTTATTAAAACCTAGCAAAAGTTCTTTTGCATTTCTTGAATGTGTGGTCTCCCCAGCACGCCTTCTGCAACGCAACTAATCTGCAAAATAACCAACACATGTATCTCCCCTGCTTGAGGGGAAGAGCATAGGGCGGAGTCTTAATTTGAGCTAAACTGCATCTCTCTCATGCAGCTAGGCATAGTAACTTGTGGTTATTTTCCAATATACTAACAGTACATAGAAGCAGAGCTGACATGCCAGCCCTTGGGAGAAGAAGGGAGTAAAAATAAACGTAGTATAGATTTCAAAGCCCCTGGTTGAAATAAGATGCTTTTAGACTAGTATCCTTCAAAGTGTCGGATGTTTGTTAGTCCCACAGGACTGTAACTAAAGTCTTACTATAGCAGCTAATCTTTAACATATCTTAACAGTCATCAGCAGGAGTCATTTTGTCTTTGAGTAGTAAATGTTATTTACAAAACTCATTGCTAGTAACAGTAACAATGTGCTGATGGGTAAAAGCTAGCTTGCTAATTAGAGTGATGTCGGAAGACCAGATGAAAGAGAAAGGGAATTACAAGTTACATTTCTTGGTAGATGAACTAAGTTGTGATCGTGTCTATAGTGGTTCAAGGGTGGGGAACTGGTTCCAGCTAAGGGACCCATGCTGACTACTTTGACAGGTAGGTACAGCTGTCCACTTGTCAGTCACATCAGCATTACATTAGGTGTTTCAACTTCAAAAGAAAGAATCAGAGCCCTCTCGTAAGCGTGCTCTTGAGTCTTCCTTTGCAGGCACAAGTACATTAAATTACGCTGCTATATTACAGTAGGTCACGACATTAAATCAAGTTAAATTCACTTAACGCTGTGCGTGCATCAGACCTCATTTGTTGTTCTGTTAGGCTACTTTGCATATGATTAAGGTGTGTTTGATTTTATATCAATTTCATCTTCTATATTTAGTGATCAGTGCTGGGGTTCTGAAAAGTTTACTTTTTTCATTTGAAATGGATCTACTCCTTAAGTAGCAAATGATATCAGCTTTGTAATTCCTCCCCAGATGATCTATTATTATTTATTAAGTTTGTTACTGACTGTTCACCATCAGATAAGAGGTCTGGTTACGACAATTTAAAATTCAATATTAAAAACAGTCAGAACAAAATTCAAGAATCTGCAAGACCTTACAAACATCTTTAGGATCCTATGTAAATGGTTCAGTGTGGTTTAGACATACCTAATTTATTTTTAATTCCACATTATAGAGCCAAACTGATTTTTCAGAAAACAAGAGTGTAGATTCAACTTAGGTTTGTAAGGTACATTTAATCATGGCCAGGATCCAGAAGATAACATAAGCCTCCTACCTTGCTATAGGGTGAACTAGTTTTGAAACTGAAGGTAGTTTAAAAAGCAGTTTTTGATGCATCACGATATGAAGTTCTGCCATTTAAAAAAGTCAGCAATGCCACTTAGTTCATGCAAGCCCTTGGTTATACTGTGAAGAATCTTAGGATTCTAGCCACTGAGTGTGATAGCTTACATACTGTTATTTACTTTCATTAAGCTTTGTTCATATTTTCCCCCTTAAAGTACACCATTGATAGCAACCTTAGTTCTGATTCTGTTTTGATTAAAAAAATGTGTGTGTGGGAATGGAGAATTGGTTAGAAGAATCATACTGGCTGGTTGTATCCCTACCCTCCACAAATTCAGTGTGATTTAAGTCCTTTTTCACACCTCCTAAATCATGCATACAGTGAAACTATGCATGTTGATGTTAACTGCATGGCGGTTAAATTATAATAATCCTAGGCACATTGCAGAGGGGGATTTACACTGGTGCTGCTGTGTGTGGGGATGGCAGGTTAAACCTTTCCCTCCCCAGCCATTTTTCTGATGAAAATGGATCCCGTGTTCTGCTATTAGTGATGCTAAAAAACAAATTGGGGGTGTTCTGTTGCTGAGTGCAGCGCATGGACTGAAATCTCCTGCCTCCCACATGCTTTGTATCAAATTTAAAATCCTTTGATGTGGCAACAAGCCAAGCAATCAACATAATGTGTAGTTAGCTTCTGAATATGCAGAGGGACATGGGCTCACTCCTGCTTTTCTGGCCTCCTACCTCTATGTTTTTACTTTAAAAGCAGGTTTATTTCACACCAATCTGTGCCACATGGGTACAGCTTTGTGGCTGGGGCCTTTGCAGAAATTTAGGCTTCTTGTATCATCCTCCATTTTTTTGGCAAAAATAATGCAGAGCTCACTGTCAGGGTAGGATCAGGCACATTCCCTCCATGATTCTATTCTTCCTGATATGTCATCTTCACATGGACTTTAAGGTAATTAGACCTTTCTGTTCCTAATGTTTATTAATTGTTTTCAATAAAGAGATTTGGCATCTGTCTCCATATCTCCCAGGAAGGATCTCTTAGAGAAACCAAGGTTTAATGTTTTGGTAGTCACATTTCACCAGCCCTAGATAACAATTAAAGTAGTAATAATGCTTTCCCTACTATGCTTAATTCCTCTAGTACATATTACAAGGAAACTCTGTTAAATGACATTAGAAAAGCTAGAGAAAAGTATCAAGGAGAAGAACTGGCAAAGGAACTGACCAGGATTAAACTCCGTATGGATAATACTGAAGTCCTCACTTCTGACATTGTAATCAACTTACTTCTGTCATATCGAGATATCCAGGTATGTTACTTTTACCATAAATACATAGTACATGTCCCCAATGTTATTTTATCAAGGTTTTATCCATTTTTGGTTTTTTAATATTTTTAAAGGTTATCTTAAGTTCAGAATCATTGGGTTCTACAGAATCTGGATTCATGATTACTGTGTTGTTTTTGCCGATTTTCCTTAAAAATAGCACAAAAGCGCTCAACAACATGGGCCCCAACAACATGTGTGTCCTGATTTACACTGTTTGAAATATTGCAACCCTAGATATCAGTGTTTTATTTACATTAATTTGCTGCAAATGTTTCTGCCCTTTTCTGTAATATTTGTCAACAAGATATGGAAGTTGAGGAAATGAGTCACATAACTTCTTGTTATCTGACCCTGCAATCTGAGTTTAATGTGTTCATTTTACTTAGTACCCTTCAGGTTATAATTCCCCACTAGGAGATTATGAGTAAGACTGCTTTAAAAAATGTTTTCCATTGCAGTGCATGCTTGTCTTCAGCTAGAAATGCAATAATGCTTAAAGAGCAATGTCAGCCATCTAGTGGAATGGTGCAAGTGGCTTGTTAACACGGGCAAGGATGCATTCCATTCAGGATTGTGTTAGTTCATAAATTCTGGCTCCTGTAGAGTTGTGTGTGTTCCTTGTAGGCAGAGAATATATTTCTAGCAGATCTTGTCCTAGGATGAAGGGAGTATCAAGGAGATAGGCTATGCATCTTTTTAAGTTGTGTTGCTCATGGTCAGAATAAGTAAAAACCGTTTGATGGATGAATTTTGGTTAGTAATGCTTTCCTCTGTTACCTCTTTAAACTGCTGTTAGGACTATGATGCCATGGTGAAGCTGGTGGAAACACTGGAAATGCTCCCTACTTGTGATCTGGCTGATCAGCACAATATCAAATTTCATTATGCGTTTGCACTGAATCGGTAAGATTAACTCCTGTGTGAATACATTTACAGAGAGAGGTAACTATTCCATTAGTGCAAAGGCATCTTCAACTTAAAACTGTAATTGCAACCACAGACTCGGATATTTGTTACATGAAGGTGACCCAAACATTCCCAGTGTATTTCCACACCCAATCCATTCTACTTAAGCAGATGACTTTCCAGCCACCGCTTATGTATCTCTTTCCCTCCCCCCCCGAAAATATTTTAAATCCTCCTACAGACTCTGTTGGATTAGATTCTGCTTAGTAGGCTGATAATGGAAGTATATGTAGCTTCTTATTTAAAAGTGTAAGTTTAACCCATGGTGCTCTTGGAGCCATCTCTGCCACTAGAGGCCCAAGTGACTTAAGTGGCCAGGAATGCCCTTTACAAGCTTTAGCTGCTAAGACTACTGTGGCCGCTTCTAGACTGGAAGAATATTGCCATCATGTTAGCTGCTGGCCTAAGTTCAAGGTGCTAGTGCTGGGCTACAAAATCTTATACAACTCGGGAGCAGGGACCAAAAAGATCATACAAACTTAAGAGTTGGAAGGGACCCAAATGCCCTCTGGTCCAACCCCCTGCAATGCAGGAATCCCAGATAAAGCATCCATGACAGATGGCCATCTAATCTCTGCTTTAAAACCTCCAAGGAAGGAGAGTCCACCACCTCTTGTGGGAGTCTGTTCTACTGCCAAACAGCTCTTACTATCAGATTGTCTTGTCCCTCATATATTCTAAGTGATCACTGTGCTCTGCAGGAGAGAGGCTCCAGCTGATAACTACCTCATTAGGAAGTTTGTTCCATACAGTGTAAGAAACTGGGTTTTTAGTGCATGCTACGCGGGTGGTGCTGTGGGTTAAACCACAGAGCTTAGGACTTGCCGGTCAGAAGGTCGGCAGTTCGAATCCCCGTAACGGGGTGAGCTCCCGTTGCTCGGTCCCTGCTCCTGCCAACCTAGCAGTTCGAAAGCACGTCAAAGTGCAAGTAGATAAATAGGTACCACTCTGCCGGGAAGGTAATCGGCATTTCCGAGCGCTGCTCTGGTTTGCCAGAAGTGGCTTAGTCATGCTGGCCACATGACCCGGAAGCTGTACGCCAGCTCCCTTGGCCAATAAAGCGAGATGAGCACCGCAACCCCAGAGTCGGTCACGACTGGACCTAATGGTCAGGGGTCCCCTTTACCTTACCCCCACATACTCTTGCAATGTTCTCCCAATATACAGTATATCAGACAGATACCCTTGTTGCCTTTTTGGGTACTTATTGAATATGATCTTCTTTCAACAAGCCTTTTAAGCAAGATTCTCATTCCAGTCTTTATCGGGATTAGCTTAGAAAATGTATTTATGTATGTTTTAATGTTGATATTTTTTATTGTTAAATTGCTTTTGGGATTCATTGACTTAAAAAATAATAATACAGTGAACAAACATGTAAAAAATCAAGAATTACTCTCAATTTTTTGATTTCCTTTTTTAAAGTACCCAATACATGCTAGGGTATATTATCACAGTACAGCTTCGGTTTAAGCCCAACCCAAGTTATTTATAATAGGCAAATTACCTAAGATTGTTTACGCCACAATATTAAAATACAGTGTGTGCTTATTTTAAACGCCAATTACTTTGTGAATGGTTTCATCATACTTATTATAGGCTCAGCTGTCCTGCATTTTCATTACTGTGCAATATAGCACAGAGGTCATGTTTATAAATGATAACTTGGGTAGTAAACTGCTGGTGACAGGTGCTTCAAGGCTGAAGTCATAGCCTAAATATTGTCAGTAGATGAACATGATGAAGGATGGCCAGAGTCACTGCCAGGACTGACAACAGGCGCCCTTTAAGCCAACACCTCAAAGCTTTTCCAATAACAAAAGGTGTTGAGTAGTAACAGAGAAGAAACAACTTTTGGTGCTCCATAATAGATCAAGATTTTAAAAAACCCCATAAGGGAAGCCAAACAACTTCCTATAAAGGAAGCCAAACAAGGTTCCCGTGAATCCATGTTGTTTTGGAGGAACTTCTCAGAGCCTTTTAAACAATATACACATGCGTAATGTATGGTATAGGCTGGACTCTAAAGACTACTTTGGGGCATGCTCAGTGACTTATATGCAGTTTTTATAATTTTTTAACTCTTCTGACAACATGAATTGAGGAAGAACTCAGTCACCTTTTGAGAGTAGATAAATAGCTATCTTCTTTTTAAATTTCAGCTGTATTCTGTGCCGTTCCAGAACTAATCTTGGTGCATACCTTTCTTTTCCTGGTAACACAGGCTTTGAGTTTTATTTTTGTATCATTCATAATAAACAAGGAATAGGTACAGTTACTGCTTTTGTGCACCCGTTTCATAGCCATCCAGATAAAGTTTGAGGCAGCATTCCAAAAAAATGGGTAGTTAGTTCATTAAGTTCAGATAATTGGTAATGTAGTTCAGGCTTTTAGGTTCAAGTAAAAAGCTGGAAACCTCTTTAAAGAGTTGCAATATTTTTGTATGCGAGAAGCACACAAGTAATGGATCACAGAGTAGTGAGGGGGTTGCAGCTCCCCATGCCAAAATCAGTCTCACAGCTTTTACCTTTTGTTGTCTCTCACATGCAAACTCTTAACAGCTGCAGCTAATTGACTTGTGTCCTGCCCAGAGGCTAGATAAGACAGCTGCTGCAGTGGAGAAGTGGCTAACACGGGATAAGTGTCTTTTAATTTTCCCTTTGGTGTCTTCCCTTCAGGGTCACCCAACTAACCACTTCCCTCTTTAATGTTGTATTGTTGAATTTATTGTCCAGTAGGAGAAAGTGAGCAATGTATTACAGTATTGGGCGGTAACTGGAATTGTGTTTTTGCTGCTGAGAGTGGGATTCTATGTTCTAACTTTTTTGTGTTTTATAATTTTGCTTAATAACAATAAGTATGAGAGACTGAAATGGCAGAGAGTAAGGCCCTAGCTGGGTGGGAGAGAGGGAGGGCGTGGTTATGCAGCTGTGTGTTTGGCACTGTGTTGCTTTAGATGGTGGTGTGTACTGGTGAAGTTACTCTGGCATGGAGCATGTGTGCAGCTTCTATTTCAATTATTTTGTTCTGCTGTTTTGCATAGTTCTCTTCATTTTTTGGTATTTGATCCCCCCCCCCCGTATTTTTTTTTAATGTTTAAGAGAATATTTTGTTTCTCCTGTTAATCAAGCCGCTTTAAATGTGTAATCATTGATACTGACAGCATATGACAACAAAGTACATCAGTGTAGGGGAAAGTATTTGTATGTTTGGGCAGTATACTGTATCCAGTATTAAAGCTATCATAACAAGAATTGCCTTGTCGGTTGAAAATTGCATCATGTCTGAATTTATCATTGAAAGGAATTATTCTGCTTACTTAAGCATAGCAAGCTTTGTGCTGCAATGTTTGCTTCTGAATATTTTCATATAAAACATAGCATAGGTAATTTGTAAATAGTGTGGTTGCATTTCATGTACTAATACTGTATGATAAATGTTTACAGCTGGTAATGTTTTCCAGCCAGAACTGAATTTTGTTTCATTTTGGGTAGATAATTGAAAGTGCCACCTGCTGTCACTGATGCAATGCATAGTGGTCCTGGTCCTAGCCTCTAGAGCAGAAGAAAACAAGCTTGCTCCATCTTCCATATGACAATATTTGAAGATGGCTATATATCTCCTCCCAGTCTCCTCTTTTACAGGCTAAACATACCTAGCTCCCTCAACAGGGAGTCTTAGTTTCCAGACCCTTGATCATCTTCATTTCCCTCCCACGTTCCAGCATGTGAATATCCTTCTTAAATTGCGGTGCCCAGAACCAGACA